AGAAATTTTTTGTTGTCTCAAAATTTATAAAAACAGCTATAACTTTTTTTAAAAAAGTTACTCAGCTAAATATAGTTATCCATACATATAGTCACCTCCTATATAATCACATTATATATAATCACATTTTTATTCTAGCCAAACTATAATTTATAAGAAAAAAACCTCAATATAAATACAACCCCTCTATAAGTACATTTTTAAAAAAAGTTACTATATGCCCAACTGTGTGATTGTATAGGAAGGCAACTGTAATAAAAAGCAATTTTATTTGTCTGCATAGCCTAATACTATATGAAAATTAATGTTTTGTAGTTTCAGTGTTTTGGATAAAGTTTTGTGTTTTATATAAGATTTTGGGGTTTTGAATAAGGTTTCATAAGCTATAATTTGAAACCCAAAACTTTCAGATTTTAGCACAAAGGATTTCAGAACCAACTCTAGTTCAAATCCACCCACTCTTCTAGAAGGTAGAGTGAGGTAGAGAATTGGACTGGCCTTAGTGGAATAGCAACTATTTCTATTGGGTATAGTGTTGAAAATCTTATATTCTTATGTTCTTATGAGAACATCTTTTTAGATTTAAAAATGTTTGATATTCTATATATGTTCTCTATAAAAAAAATATGAAAACATGATGCTAAAAAAGTATGTTCTCTAAGTATAATAGCAAAATTTCAGATGAAAATAGAACTTCTGAATTTATCTAAAAGGAAAATGAATGAACATAAAATAAGAAAAGTTGGAATAAAAATTAAAACAAATGTCTAATATTTTCTGAAAATAGGAATATTAATAAATTTTAGTGATTAAATATTGAGAACATAAATAAAATTTAGAGAATACTAAATCAAATAAATATGTTCTCATTTGGGTATATTTATTTTTTACATTTACAGTGATTTTGGCTTATATTTTTGCAATTGTATTTAATATTACTGTTATATAAAACTTACTATTACGGCTAGGGATAGGTATGATCACAGTAATAACCATTAAGACCGGTTATTGACCATAGCCATTTCTGACCATCATAGCAGTTTAGCTGACTGGTCAAATAATAACCGATGGTAGATTCTTTAAAAAAAAAATCATATTATAGCTTCTTTTATAAATTTTTGAACACCTAATAAAAATTTCTTAACCAATTCGATAAAATCTGAGATTTTGAAATAAACCGATGATTTAGTGCGAGTAAACAAATGACGTATGCATACTTTCACGTGATTGATAATCACTGCATTTTCAAACAATCTAATTCTGGGGTACATTTAAAGCGGAGTAGATTCTTATAATATATAATTTATCAAATTAACTTTAGGGTTATGGTCATCTTTGATTATGGTTAAAACAGGTTTTAGATAGTTATATGTAAGCAAAATTGCCTTCCCGACATTTTTACTTAGCTTACCCAAGGTAGGTTTAGACTGCTATTTTTTGTATTTTCAAGTTTTTCGCTTTTTTTTTCTTGTTTTGCTTCGTCGGCGATCATCAAAATTCTATAATTTGATTGGTTGTGTGTCATGTGATTCTGCACCGCTTTAGACGACCTCTAATTCTGGTCAAATTTGTTGATCATTTGACCTCATCACCAATAGGCCAAATGATCTGCAAATTTGACCAGAATTAGATTGTTTTGAAAATATCACTCAATTTTTACTAAGTAAATCTCTTCCTACTTCTAATTGAAGTTGCAGAGAAAGAAATTTTGATAATGATGATGATAAACTGCTAAAATCAGCACAATATATCATGAGATATAATTTTCGCGATCTTATTTAAGTAAACAAAAAAGGAAATGTATAGTCGTGAGAATTAAAATTCTCATATCTCGTTATCTACTGGGTCGATATTGATTTTTTTAACTTTATTTATTGCCAAAATTTCTTCTCAACAGCTTTATTAGAAGTAGAAGAAGGGTTTACAGAGAAAAAATCCAAATAAGTTATGACCGGTCATTTATTTAACCATATATAACCGACCACGGTCAACCGGTTGACCGTCAATAACCGGTAATGACCGACCGAACCCATCCCTAGTCACAGACTACTGTGTACTTCTTGACTTTTACTATCGGTCTTTACTCATATGTTTGATGACCGTGTATCGTACAGGTCCTTCCACCAATAATGTATTGTTTTTTCACTAAGAAACGTTGCAAAGCTCAAAGCCATTAAAGCTTGGTACTTCCCTTTCGGGATCGATACCTTATATTAATTACTAATCGCTATTTTGCGTCACTGATTATTAGATACTTTCCCATCGCTTATGCAATCACTATTATTACTAATCGCTAATGATTACCATATTGTTCATGCAATCACTATTTTAACTTTAATTAATTTCATGCAACCCCGAATCACTCCATTCATGCAAATCCCGATCATGGTCCCTGACCCTTGTGCTACGAATATCCAGGTACCAACTTCGATCACGACACTTACTAAAAAGAAAATTTCGGGCCCAATGGGCCGGGTCAGCCCATATCACTAATCTTGCAAGCAATTTTAGGCAAGTGTAAATTCAAGCATGAGTTGCGCCTGAATTTACACTTGCCAGCTAACGCGCGCAAGATGATCTAGTTTCAGGGCTAATTTCAGTCGGGTATGACCTCAAGTACCTGAAGGTACACCTTCAGGCAGGACGGTAACCTTGAAATTTCTTTCTTTCTTTCTTTCTTTCTTTTTTTTGCGATGCTCTTTATGATGGTCTTTGAGAATTAGTGGTTTTCAATTCATCTATCTAGCAAAAAAATGCAGAAATGCATTGTAAATAAGAGGCAATAATGCGTTTAATAGACTTAGAAACAATTTCTTAACTAACCTTTCATAATGATCTTTAATGATCAGTAAAAAAAAATCCTCAATATAATAACTAGGTGCTGGAAAAGGAACGAAAATGACAATTTTTTGAAAATAGATTTGTTTACATAAATCAATTTAAAATAAGGTTAGTTATATTGATAAATTTTTGCAGTACAGCTCCAAAAAGTTTGTTTTTTCTTATGATCTATTGTTAGAATTATAATATAAAAATTGATTTACTAAAGATCTTTTTTTTTTTTGTCAATTTCGTTCCTTTTTCAGCATCTAGCCCATATCAATCAAATCAATCAAATCAAATCAAATTCTAATAAAATTATGGCCGTTTACCCTTTATGCTATTTGATTGGTCGAAGTTCAGTAATTTATGACCGTGAGACTATGCGAAAATTATAAATAACGCTAACCAAAATTAAATAACGGAGTAACAATAATTGAATTATAATTATGATGCATTTAAGGTTAGATTATCGTATTGAATGATAGAATTGATTCCAACGTTAACTAAAATCGATGCATTGTCATGTACAATATAATTAAATTTGATAAACTAATAAACATGGATTTCGTATTACGCTAAAAAAATTAAAGTCATTAGAGAAAAAAAATCCATTATGACTATATAAAAAATTATTAAGTGAAAATATATATTTCAATGAATTAAATAAGAATTATTAAATAATATAATGAATGGAAGAATTATAACGCTAACTAAAATTAGAATCATTGAAAAAAAAAAATCATTATGACTATACAATAAAATTATTTTGTGAAAAACATATATTTTATTAAACATTAAACATATTAAATAAAAAAAATAATACTAACGTAAGCAGAAATCGATAAATTTAACAGGTATATAATAAGATATAATATATTAGTGAAATTAATTATATACTGTTATGTACGGTATAAAATTGACAATAAATTAATCGTAGATTTGCATATAACGCTAACTAAAATTGGAAACGTTAGAAGTCAACGAATCGGAAAGATAGCTAAGCAAGAACTAAGCCGGAAGCGATCCAGTCAAGCCCAAAAGCACAGCCACTGACCTAATCGATCGAAGAAATAAGCCGATCCTGAGTAAATTAACACATGAAGACAGATAAGTACAAATTATTAGTAATTACAATTAATTGCCTATTTGAGCAACTGTTCAATCATTAAACAATTGCTCATTGTTAAAATATGACATAAGAAAAAATACAATCCAGAAATATCTGCATAATCATTCGCAAAAATTAAGTAACACACCCGAACCCTCCTAACCCGTATAGAATCCTACCATTTCGTGGCAACTTAAAACTTCAATTCAGAGCTGGCATGCTTTATACAGTGTAAGAGACCACCGGCTGGTGCTACACATCACAATTTAGCTGATGACGACGATACCCAACGCAATTATGTATGCTATTTCTGGGAGCATGCTTATACATCAATCATAATGATGTATGCTACAATTTCTCAATAAAAAATTACGCAAAAAAGTTTAATATCTAACATCGTTAACTAGAGGCATCCAATTTACAATACTTATCACAATGTACAACCGGATATGACATAACTAATGAAATTAATTATGTCCTTTAACGTATGATATAACTAATAAAATTAGTAAAAAGAGATCATGTATAACGCTAACTATAATAGGAAGCGTTAAAAAAAATTTCGGCCACAAGTATAACACACTTAAACTTAAAATAATTACCACATTCTAATACATAAAATCTAAACTTACAAACAAATATTAATCCAATAATAAATTACTCAATTATAAAGGGCGCCGTGGGCGCCAGCTCTACCCTTGTATATATATAAATAAATAATTGTAAATAAGAGTGATAAAAAAGACAGAAATAAGATCTTTTTATTATCATCTCAACATATATTCATATTTTATCAATTCATAGCAATAGTAGCTTCGGAATAAAAAATTTCGGTTAAAATCTCTGCACAAAGATAACATCAGCCGTAGAAAAAGATTTTATATGGAAAATGTTGATACAAACCGGTTCATAAACATTACACAACATATCAATGTGTATATATAGACAAATATCAAAACTAAGCGCATGTACGTACGTACGTACGCACCATATAATTTTACACCTGCTGTAACTTTAAAATTATTATTACAAATATTCCCAAACCCAGTGAATAATTACTTTAATAATAATGAATCAAATATTTGCATCAGAATATTTTGATACAATTTTCAGATACCTTCCGACTTATAAAGATTTGCATTCTTGTCTCTTAGTTAATAAACGTTGGGCCTCTTGTGCCATTCCAATTTTATGGGAAGCACCCTTCAGAGTTAATGACAAATATATTTCATCTCCCAAAGTTATTCAAACCTATCTTGCATTTATACCAGATAGTACTTTTCACAAATTGGGATATAATAAAAGAATTGGGTTGTCGAATAGTAGACCTCCTTTTTTTAACTATCCATCATTCCTTAAAGAACTCACATACGATCAATTTCTTAATGCAGTTATTGCAATCGATTTCAGTGAAGATATCATAATTGAATTATTCAAATTACTTGCTAAAAATGATGTAAGATTACGCCGATTAGAAATCTACAACTGCCTTAATAATTATCCTGAAAACCTGAATAGGAAAGGACATTTGGTTCTTCCTCATTTTTATGAATGTACTTCTGTATTTAGTATGCTGACGTATTTTAATTGTAGCTACCGATGGCCGGTGCAAAGAATACAACTTTTTAATGTAATAGCGAAGTACTGTCATAATATTAAAATCCTTAAAGTCAGTATATATGATAAAAATGAAGGAATAGCTTTAGAGGGTCTTATTCGTTCTCAAAGGAATTTAAAAAAGTTCTCTTTGGTAAACAGTAATAATTTTGCATCATTTCCTATCCAAGCTCTTTTGAATCAAAAACACTCACTTGGCAGCTTAGCACTAGAAGATATGCATCACAGCCCTAGACTAAACAGTGCAAAATTTTTTAATTATGGTATTTGTCAATTAAATAGTAGTGCTATCGATGTATTGGCTCAGTGTAAAAATGTCAACAAAGTGAAGTTTAAACATTGTGAAGGGCTCAATTCTTCAGTATTTTTTCCTCTTGCTAATGCTTTTTCGAACTTAACATCTTTAGAATATTCTTATGGCACCTATGACATTTATGATAGTGCAACCCCTATTAGATTATTATCTGATATCATTATGACAAGTTGCAATACACTTAAAAGAATTGCACTTGACTGGTATTCAGAAGCTAAACTGGATATTACACAGCTTGTCGAAATTATTACACAACAAGTGACAAAACTTGAGTATTTAAAAATTCCACTCTATACATTAGAACAACTTGCATTAATTCACCGAACCCATAATCAATTAAGGAAGCTTGAAATCAATATGAATAGAGAAATAAATTTTTATAGTGCTCTTTATCTTTTTGCAAATGTTCCACTCAAAAGTCTTGAGCATTCAATTCAATTGTATTTTGACTATGTTGAATATTCTAACCCAAAATTCAATCTATTAAATCAGATCTTTGGTTCTATTTTCTACAAAATTAATCGTATTGTTGATTTTGTTTTATATTTACGTAATGATTTCAACCCTGAATTAGAAAAAAAGAAGCTTTTAAGAAACTATCCAAGACTTAAAATCAATACATTGAATATGTATACATATGATACATATGATATATATGATACATATGATACATATGATACAAGGTTTCATTTTGAAACGTATTGTGATGAATTACTAAAACTATTTGACAATTTATTGGAAATTAATTCAAATGACATATGGGCATTAAAGCAACGTGGAGCAACCTATTTCAGTATTAAAAAATATATAGAGTCACTTAAAGATTTGAGCAAAGTTTTAGAAATTGAACCAAATGATGCTTATGCATTAAGACTACGTGGGGAAATTTATTATTTTATAGGAAACTACGAAAAATCATTAATAGATTTAAGCAAATCACTAGAGATTGAACCAAACAATGCATGGGCATTAAAATTTCGTGGAATTACTTATTCTATGATTAATAGATACGAGGAATCACTTAATGATTTAAATAGATCTTCAAAGATTGAACCAAATTACTCATTTGCGTTTAAAAAACGCGACGAAATTTATTGTAAGATGAAAGGATATGATATATCATTCATGGACTCGCTAATAAATGAATTTATCAAAATAGATCTAAATGATATATTAACATATGAATCACTCATGAACTTAACTGGAGTTCGCAAAATGGATCCATTTGCATATAAATATCTCATGAACTTGAATGAAATTCTCGAAATAGAACCAAATAATGCATTTGCATTAAAAAATAGGGGTGCAATTAATATGGTAATAAGAAAGTATTATGAATCACTTGTAGACATAAATAAATCTCTCGAAATATCTATTGACGATGAATTTGCGCTAAAAATTCGTGGTATAGTTTATTGTATAATGAAAAAATATGATGAATCACTTGTAGACTTGAATAAACTCCTTGAAATAGAGCCAAATGATGCATTTGCATTGAAACTTCGTGGAGTAATTTACAGAATAATGGGAAATTATAATAATTCACTTATAGACTTGAATAAATTTCTTGGAATAGAGCCAAATGATGCATTTGCATTAAAACATTGTGGTGCAACTTATCTTAAGATAAAGAAAGAAATAAACAATCATTATTATTCATGGTTTGATGAGCCTTATAATTGTCGAAATTATAATAATTATGAATATGAAAAATCGCTTGCAGATTTGAATAGATCATTGGAAATTGAACCAAATGATGTATTTGCGTTAAGATACCGTGGAATAAATTATTACAGGACTAAAAAGTATAAGATGTCACTTGATGATTTAAATAGTTCATTAGAAATTGAACCTAATGATGCATTGACTTTACAACAACGCGGTGTAACTTATTGTTATATGAAATTATACGATAATTCACTTGAAGACTTAAATAAGTCACTAGAAATCGATTCAAATAATGCTGATACTTTAGGAAATCTTGGAAGGACTTATTATATGATGGGAAATTATGAAAAATCACTTAAAGATTCAAATGAATCACTAAAAATCGAGCCAGCTAATGCAATTGCTTTAGGAAATCGCGGTGCAATTTACAGAAGAATGAAAAAATATGATGATTCACTTGCAGATTTAAATAAATCTCTTGAAATAGAACCTGATGATGCATTTGCATTGAAAAATCGTGGTGCAATTTACAGAATAATGAAAAAGTATAATGAATCGCTTACAGATTTAAGTAAATCTCTTGAAATAGAACCAGATGATGCATTTACATTAAAGAATCGTGGTGCAACTTATCTTATGACAGAGAAAAATTCAGCCCTTTATTTTTTATGGAAATATGATAAATCTCATAATCGTAATAAATACGAATATGAAAAATCACTTGCAGATTTGAATAGATCATTGGAAATTGAACCAAGTGATGCATTTGCGTTAAGATACCGTGGAATAAATTATTGCAAGACTAAGGAATATAGGATGTCACTTAATGACTTAAATAGTTTGTTGAAAATTGAACCTAATGATGCATTCACGTTACAACTACGTGGTATAACTTATTATTGCATGAAATTATTCAATAAATCACTTGAAGACTTAAATAAGTCACTAGAAATTGATCCAAATAATGCTGATGCTTTAGCAAATCGCGGAATGACTTATTATATGATGGGAGATTATAAAAAATCATTTATAGATTCAAATGAGTCATTAAAAATCGATCCAACTAATGCAATTGCGTTAGGAAATCGCGGTGCAATTTATAGAATAATAAAACAGTATGATAGCTCTCTTGCAGATTTAAATAAATCTCTCGAAATAGAACCAGATAATGAATTTGCGTTAAAAAATCGTGGAGCTACTTATTATATGATTAATAACTTTATGAATTCACGTGAGGATTTAGAAATCTCATTATTAATTGATCCAGAAGATTCATTTGCACTAGGATACCGTGGAGCAATTTACTGTAAAGACGGAGATTATAATAATTCACTTGAATATTTAAATAAATCGCTAAGAATTGAGCGGGAAAATGCATTTGCATTACGACAGCGTGGGATAACTTATTTTTATATGAAAGAATTTGATAAATCACTAGCTGATCTAGATAATTCTTTAAAATTAGAAAGTTTATACACATACAGTACTTTGAGCCTAATGATATTAGGAAATTTAAAGGAATTTACATATGAGGGACCGAAAAATAAAGGAGATTACATATAAGGGCCCGAAAATAAAAATATTTATCAAGACAATTACCCGGTGACAAACACTTGTCAAAATTTTATATTTTGACTTTTAGACATATATTGGTAAAATAATGAACGTTTTAATATATTTATCTATTGTTTTGATTTGGCAATTTTAAACAAATTAAAATATAGCTAAATATGATATAAATATAATATATATGTAAATTGTTTATCTAAAATTTAATTTAATTTTATCAATATTTAACTAATAGTTATAAATATAAAAAACATTAGTTAAATATTTATATACATAATTTAAACATACTTTATTTATCTAAAATTTAATTTAAATTTTATCAATATTTAACTAATAGTTATAAATATATAAAACATTAGTTAAATAATTATATACATAATTTAAACATACTTTATTTATCTAAAATTTAGTTTGAATCTTATCGATATTTATAAATATGTAAAATATTAGTTAAATATCTATATTTATAACTTAAATATACTTTATTTATCTATATGACAAGAATTATAACCCGATTATAAAATAACTATCGCTATATGACAAATTTAAATAAAGGTCTTGATCCCGGTTTTAGTAACTATGTAGTGCTTATAAATAAATAATTACTTTATTACATACTTTATAAAATAAAGTGTATATACGTATATATGTTATGAGAGGCTTATCTCATAGTTTACTATTCTATTATTATTATTGTTGTTGTTGTTTTTCTTTCTTTTGTTTTTTTATAGTCACATAATTTCGCGGACATTCATGTCCGTGAAATCACATGACAATAATCAGTAAGCTACCTAATTTGAATATTCTTTAATATATATATATAGTAATGTATATATATATATAACTATATATTATGCTTTTATCTCTATAATTCTTATAATGTACATATATATCTACATATGTACAAACATGATTCAAATTTTTTTATTTATAAAAATTAAGTAATACAATTAAATACACCACGTGTATACAGCAAGCATCTAAGATTTATATTATTTAGTATAAAGGACACTTTATTTAGCAAATTCAATAGTACCTTGTGCATGTGATATGTGGTAATTCAATCAAGATCGGAGATTAATATATCAAATCACAGATACAAAATCAATTAATTGTAAAAATAATGCAATTAATATAATTAATAGAGAGGTTTCGATAAGATAATATAAAGGTAATAGTAATGAAGTTCAATAGTAATTTGAGAAATAAATTAAATTAATAAGTAATTTGGATAATGTATAATAAACGTATTAGAATAAGTATTTAATAATAATAAGACAATAAATTTATAACTAATTTTAAGTAACTTATATAACTTTATTAAGATATTGAAGCTTGGAATTTTATTAAAGCATGAAAAATAACTGATAATTGAAATTGAACTTTATTATCGAAACCTATTTCTACTTAATTGATATTAAAATCCTAACTTTTTATTAATTGGAATAACTGCAATATGTTTGGTTGACTGATGTAATTTGTAATCTGCTTTGAAAAATCTACAATAAATTCTTTGAACAGGAATAATACTTTCAACAGAACGTTTGTAAAAGCTATTTTCTCACAATTTAGCACAAAACATACCAGCATGAGCATGTCCATCTTCATCAAATTGAAAGCAATCAGTTTCATGATTATATATATAAAAATGATCACAATAAGTAGATGTTTTATACCAATCAACAAAAGCAAATGAATGCTCTATAGTTTCAAAATCTATTTGATCTCTAGAATTCTCATTAGTAATTTCTTTTGGAACTTGTACTTGATGTTTAAAATAATACAATACTTTTCCAGGCCAGTAATATATATTATATTCATTACCAGCTCTGGTCTTTTTTTCATCAATAAAAGCTGCAACTATATATGAATTCGAATCTGATCATAAAGAAATAGAGCCAAACTTTTCATCTCTAATATAAATAGCTCCAGATCACTCAATTGCAGATATTACAAAAATAGAATTAGGATCTAAGATATAATCACAAGATGCAATAAAAGTCAATGTTTGTCATTTGTTGGTATAAATTTTGTTGTAAAACTGTGCAAGATATCGATTTGTAATATCATCCAAATGTGAAAAATGTATAGGTTTAAGAAACTTTCCAGGAAATAATTCAGCTCCAGTAATATTTTGTTCTGATATTTTGGTTGACATATTATAAAGATTTAGAATATCTTGTATAGGTATTAAATATTTAGCTAATGTATCTCCTAATAAAATAAAATCATTAATTGAATCTGGAAAATTTTTTAATAAAGTTGATACAACTAGATTAATTGTAATTTCTTCATAAATAGTAGACATAACTTCCAAGCAATATCTCTATTTGAAGTTGGAACTTTTGATAATTTACCATTCATTTGCTCATATGCAAAACACCAAATTCCATATACTGGTCCATAATTTAAGAGATATTCTTTTATATAAATATGCATATGCATATTGGGTGTAATAAACTCTGCTCCAAAAATTTTTTTTATAGCAATACAAAATTGATAAATAAATTCATGTGCTTTTTCAATTTCTGATATACTAATTACTCTCTGTGCCCATAAAGCATTAGCACATACAAAATCTTGCCAGTATTTTCGATGATTCTCAGATAACAAATCACGAATAGCCAAAGTTGAATAAACCAATACCCAATTTTTCCATTGGTCAGCAGTAAATGATGAAAATCCAGTTGCAATTTTATGAGGAATTCAACCTATATAATATGGAGGTGGATTGCAATTAATAATATTTTGTATAATTTCTAAATCTTTTTTAGAAATTAAAGGCTTATTATTATTTTTAATATTTATAGTAGTCCAAAGTTTTGTAATATGTTGTGCAGTTCCTAGATATAAATTATGCATAGGATCAATTACTGTAAAACAAATAAGATCAATATAGGGAAGATGTTGTAATGGAGTCCATTGAATTCCATATTTGTCAAATATTTGCTTTTTTTCTCTATTATTTGCATTTAACCAATTATTAGATAATTGTTTATGCTCAATATTATTTAAACGAGAAAATTCTTGACTAAATCCAGAAAAATTTACTTTTCCAGTTGGAAATGTTGGAAACTTTTTAATACATTGATAGCATCTATTTTTAGAAGAATGTTCTGCAAATCCTGATATTTTTTGAGCCGCTAGTGTATCACATGCAATTAATATTAAAGCATCACGAAAAAGTCGACTATTAGGATATTTTGAAGTTTTAATTATAACTCCACTCCATAATTTATATACAATTGGCTCAATATAATTATAAATTTCAGTAACTAAAGGTTCATGAGGTCCTGGAATTAAACCAATCAAAAAAACATTTTTGGTTTGATATCGAAGATGTCTTGGAAAATTTAAAATTGTTAAATAAATAGCTCCAACTAAAATTGGTGAATGCTTATAAAGATTAAACCAGTCAATGTTAAGTGAAAATCCTAATCTACTTTCTACTAAATTATCAACAAAAAAAGCTGTTCCATCATTATTTTTAAATGTTCGCTAAACATGACCATCATATACATCAGAAAGTAAATCATTTGGTGGTAATAAATGTTTATAACAAGATTCTAATGCCTCTTCTATTTCTGGAAGTAAAAGAATTTTTTTAAGATGTAAAATAATTGAATAGTAAGGATATGTTTTAATAGCCTTATATAATATTTTTCCTTTAGATATACGAACAGGTTTTTTAAGTTCTGCTTCACAAATACAATTTGATTGACAAATTTCACTTAAATATTCTTATGTCCAGAAAAGCTTATGACACTTTGGACATACATAAAATTTTATAAAATTTTTGTCTAGTCTAAAAAGCTTTGAAACACGATAATTGGATTTAAAAAAAGTTGCAAAGTAATCTGAGTTAATATAATTTAATATTGTATATAAAAAGCTAAAAAAAATTTCTGTTGATGCTTTGGCAAGAGCTATTGTATGCTTAAAAAGTAAAACCCATAAAACAATCCATTGAATAATAAGTGAAGCAGTAAGTAATAAACATAAAATATTATTAGGATCTGATTCAACATAAATAGGAAAGTTTGTAATCAATAAATTAGATTCATATTTAGAATCTTCTTCATTTTCAATACTATCATTATCTTCCATTTCATCTTAATCTTTATAATTATCTGAATCTAAATAAATATCATATAGATCGAATTGTGTTTCATGCTCACTATCCTCATCTGTTTCAATAATTATATCATTAGCTAAACCAAATTCTGTAAGATTTGCAATTTTATTTTTTTTCGGTAATTTGATCCTTCTGCATAATTATTAGAGTTTAAACTTGGATTTTGTTTCAAAAATTCTGATTTGAATACAAAATCAGATTCAAAAGTTTCTATATTTTCAGATGAATCTGATAATGCATTTGTATTTCCTAACACTATAGATGATTCTGATTAAAAAGCTTTAGACAAAAGTTCATTATTTGTGTTGGTAATATTTTCTTGAATTAGTAATGTAGGTATAGGATCATCGGACATATATAAATCAAAATGATTATTCCAAGTTCTTTGATCAACTGTTTTTCCATTACACACTGGGCATAAACAAATATATACCATTTAAGTAATGTTAATTTGTAAAAAGAAATTTTATTAATTACTAAATGAGCAAGATTTTTATAAAAAAAATATTTAGCGGTATTAAGAAAAATAGGATTTAAAATATTTTATATTGCGATTATAAGATAAAGGTATTTTTATTTAAATTTTATTGGTTTACTATCATGATAATCTAAATAACTAAGTTTGTCATAATTAGGCTCGATTTATGATGTAATTATGACAATAAAATATAATTTAATATTATTAATTTTATATAAGTACTATTAAGAAAAATAAAACTTTGGGCTTTTAATTCAAAGAATTAAAAATTTTTATTGTAAAATTTTTTATTATTATTCTTACATATGTTATTAATCAAATGCTGTTATTATTCTATAAACTATTAATTTTAATATTAGCAATAAATTTAAGCTCTGTTTACATAACTGATTTTGGTGTAATACTAAGTGAGTTTATTTTTTTTTAGCAAAACAATATATATTGTATATTAAAAATTTAAATCTGATGTTAAATCTAATATAAATTTATAATAAATATGTAATTGTTTATTTAATTAAAAAATAAATAAATAGAGATCGTTAATCTTCTGCTTGTAACTCTTTCACTCACAACATTTTTATATATTACCTATAAATTTAAAAAATACAAAAATTTTTCAATTATAATGTCAAAAATAACCAATGTTCAAATATATACTATAATACAATTTCTAGAAGATCTTGTAAAATCACAATACATAGAACACCAAAAACGATTTGATGATCAAGATCAACTATTAAAAAACTTTTAAGAAGAAGTAAAAATACAACTTGCAAATTAACAAAATAAAATAATTGAATTGATGACTCTTGTTCAACAAAAAGAATTTGATAGTTCTAAAAGAAATAATAAAAGGCAACTAGTTGATAATATATATTCTGAATTAGCAGGTTTAAATGATAATAATGAGCTTATTAATGACAAGTTAGATTCCTTTGAAATGTTGATAAAATAGCATAATTCGAATATTAATAATCAAAGCAATTTTTTTTATTATGATATCCAAAAGCTATTAAACGAATTAAAAAAAAGCTTTTAAACAAAGTGAAGTGGAATCTATTCCAAATAAAAAATTAATTGAAGATTCAAGCTTTTCTTATCATGAAACACATCCAATTTTAGTTTGTTATCTCCATCGCAAAGTTAAATTACATCTAAAAAAAAAGAAGCATATGATAATAAAACTTTGCCGGCAAATCAAATAGTTGGTAAAAATTATCTTCCAGATATTATCAATACACCCACTGCTGGAAACAATCCAATTATAATTGAATGATATATAGATTATTTTATGAAAGACTGGGAAGTTCACAAAAATAGTAATGGTATTTAGCATTATTATTGTTATTTTGTTTCAAAAAAATATAATATAATATTTTATTTTTTTAGAATTAGCATCTGAGCAACCTTGGACACATGAAGTAATTACTGATATTGCTTTAAAAAAAAATTTTGATGCTTTTGATAGCCGAAATATTAAACAATGCCGTGATAATCGTCTTATTCTAGTAAGATAAAAACTTTGCAGTTTTAAGTTTATATTTTAAAATTTTAACTTAAAATTTATTTTTCAGAAATCTAAAGCGTTATTAAATATCTTGGATCAATATTCCGATGAAGAAGATTTGTACCACCCAAAAGAAGAAATTAAACTTATTCTCCATAAATGTTGAATATCACCAGAACTAACAGATGAAGAACATCAAGAACTTCACCCACAAGATAAAAAGCAATTAATTGTCTCACTAATGTATTGGCGCTCAGATGAAGTAAGGCAACTAACTTATATATTTTTAGATTGTTAAATTTATTAATTTATATTAATATAAATTTAATTTTTATTACAAAAAGCATAATAGATTACGAGCTATTTTAAATCAAAAAGCTGGTATTCAATGTCCAAGCAGGTGGTCACCTTATTTGAAAGGAAAAAAAAAGGATAGTGGCACATTAAAGCATGTTTATCCTGAATCCGAACATTCACAATATGAAGAATTAATTAGTTTCTTATTCGAAAAGTTGTCTTTTCTTCCTGATTGGGCTTAAAAGGTATTTTTGTTAATTGTTTAATGTTATATATCGAACTAAGATCACATATGTTGTATATCGAACTAAAATTTGCTTTAATAGGCAATTCTCCAGTCAACTGGACAAAAATTTTTTTTTTATATATAAATTTTACTATAAGTGCGAATGCACC